ATGCACTTGAGGTGAAAGTAGGCGCCGATCAATGACTGTTAACAATGCAAAATTACATGCACTTGTATGTGAAAGTATGTGCACTTGTAAGTAATTTTACCTGCACTTTTTACTTGCCTAGGTGCACCTACTACTTGCAAATATAACACATTTACATGCGCTATTTCATTCGCATTTTCGCACACGGCCGCATTTTCGCACAGGAATGCGACCCTATATATATATAATTAACAATTTCACAATTTCAAATATTTAATAGTTTATTATTTCTTTTATTTCAACCTTTGGAATTTAAAAATTCTAATATTCAATTCAAGTTGTTCGGCATTTATATATTTAATTAACAATTCACAATTTCAAATATTTAATAGTTTATTATTATTTTTTTATTTTAACGTTTGGAATTTGAAAATTCTAATATTCAATTCAAGTTGTTCGGCCTTTTACTACTAGTGTGCTATAAAATCATTTTAAAGCTACTATATATACAATTACTAAATTAATTTAGCTCTCGTTCGGTCTCTTTCACTTTTTATTATCTAACTCAGATTTATATCTAGTCCCTTTGTAAATATAATTTCTAACCAAGGTGCTATGGCTATTAGTGTTGGTTCTCCTTGTGGCACATGCAAATTCTTTCATTGGAGGTGCATTCTCGATTGGATGTTTGCGCCTACTTTTGCTCTGACCATGTAAACTTGAAACTTTAAAAAAAAACCCAAAAATTAAATAAAAACTGTAGCAATCTGAATATTATGGGAGGAAATTAAAGCAATCAAGGCAAAAAAACGCAAACATTAATCTTGATCATGACAGTGGTTCTGCTATCTCTGTAATTTCATTCCTTAATCTCTTCTTCAAGAAACGTGGATCATTTTTTGTCATTGTTTTAGTATTTTAAAAATTTGAATTAAAAAATATGGAACAATAAGAAAACTAAATTTTAAAAAGGAAAGTTGAAAAAATTTCGAATCTGCCCGGAAGCTGCTCGTAAGTTACCCGAGAACTGCCCGTAAATCTTTCGGGACAAAGTTAACTTTACAGCTAGTGTGCTATGAAATTATTTTAAAACTACTATATATTCACTTACCAAATTAATTTAGCTCTTACTCGGTCTTTTTCACTTTCTATATCTCTCTCAAATCTATATATAGTCCTTTGTAAATATAATTTTTAATCGAGTTGCTATGGCTACTGGTGTTGGTTCTCCCTGTGGCGCATGCAAATCCCTTCGCTGGAGGTACGTTCCCGATTGGATGTTTGCACCCTACTTTTGCGGCCCGACTAGTTTCGCCACCATTCACAAAGTTTTTGGGGCTAGCAGCATCTCGAAATTGATGCTATAGCTTTTGGTCCAATAACGCTTTGCCGTTGTTTTTACTATCACTTGGGACATTCTTAAAAGTTGTTTTTTTGCACAAATTTTAAAATGCCATAGGAGAGGAGTGAGGGGGAAAAAAAAAAAACAAAACAAAACAAAAAAAAAAAACAAGAAAATGAGTTTTTAGAAAGAAAAAAAAAAAAAAAAAAAAAAGCTATGGTAACACGCCTAGCGATATGTAGTTCACGTGCCTGGCTGGGCATTGTTGTTGTGCCTCACTTGATATATGGTGTCCTTTTTTCAATTTTAGTAGGGCTCATTTCAGAGACCAAAAATTACTTCTTGCATATATGAAGCTCTCACCTCTTCTCTCTCCTCATTCTCTCTTTTTCAAATTTTTTCAAAAATTAAACAAAAATACTATTATAGTTACTTTCATGAAGCTCAAGCAAGACTGGAAAATCCCCTTTTTTAGCTGCGTCTCCCATATTTTTGCTCTGCAAAAGCAGGTACTATGGCACCGTTACTATCTATAACTTCATTATATAATTAATTAATTTCATCATTTGTTTTATCAAAAAAAAAATTTCAACATTTGTTCGTTTGAGAAAAATAAAATTTTCCTATAAAATCAAAGACTTGATGAGAATAGAAATTAAACACCTGGATGACTAAAACTCTCCCTAGATTCCAGGGATCTATCAAATCATGAGTTCCCACCCAAACAAGTAAGTTTTTACAGGGGATTTTTTTTTACAGGTCTTGAATCTGCAAGGTGATGTGATGTTCTAAAAAATTAAAAGCAATTTTTATTATACATTTTCGATATAAAATTTTATTTTTTTTAAATTTACAATCCACAATTTGAATTATTTAATACGGTGTATTTTATTATTTCATTTTTTTTTTGAATCCTTTGGAATTTGACATTCAAATATTCATTCCAAAGTCTGAACATCCTAATATTAACCTTTTTTTGTCATTGTTTTAGTATTAAAAAAAATAGAATTACAGAATATTGAACAAAAATAAAACTGAAAATTAAAAAAGAAAGTTAACAAAATTAATTTTACTCCCGATCACTCCGTCTCTTTCACATTCCATTATATTATCTATCTCAACCCTATATTTAATCCCTTTGTATACATAATTTGTAACCAACATTGCTATGTTGATTGGTGTTGGCTCTCCCTATAGCGCATGCAAATTCCTCCAACAGAGGTGCGTTCCCAACCGCATATTTGCGCCCTACTTTTTCTCCGACCAAGGTCCAACTAGATTCGCCGCCATTCACAAGGTGTTTGCGGTCATTTGAAATAACAATATTTTTTGCATTTCAAATAACATAATTGATGAAACTAATTGACTCGGGGGTAGGTATGTGTGGATCAATATGTTCCCATAACAGAAAGGATAAAATAATAACTATAATATAAACTTAATAATATTCCCTTGATCGATGCAAAAATATTATAAAAGATGTTGTGTAAAATTTTAGGACATGATTTGTAACGCGAAGACAATGCAATATTTATACAAGGTAGGGACACAACAAAACTCCTGAAAACAAGGTGTGCCACGAGACTAAGTAAAGGCCCATGCGGTGGGTTGCAATAAGACTAAGTCAAGATCCATCATTTTTGGCACGGAGACGGGCTCTAGGATCTGGGCTCTTCTTGGACCCCATGTCCCTATTATTGGGTCGTTTCCATATCTCCATCAATAATATTTCAAAATAATTATTGAGTTCCTAAGTCTAAGAATAAAAACAAATTGGGAACTAAAATTTCCTAACTTTGGTATCATTAAAATCTAAATTACATTTAATTTGTTCCTAACATGTTATACTTTTTATTTAGAACTGGCAAACTTCAAAAATAAAGGAAAAATCATTGTTTTGATCTGTCAATTATGTTGGAACTTCAATTTAGTCTCTAATTTTTAATTTGGTCGAATTGACCTCCAATTGTTTGCCGTTAGTTACCAAAACAGTGGCTAGATAGGGGATTTAATAAAATAAATTTAAAACAATTGGAGGATCAATTCGACCAGATTGAAAAAATAAAGACTAAATTGACAATTACAAAACAATTGAGGGACTAAAACATTGATTATTAGTGAAAATTAATGTGGAATGAAAATTAAAGAAATTATTTTTAAACTAAAAATTCATAAATTAAATTGTAATTCGAAATCATTCATCATTGCTATTGAAGATAGGTAGCCTTCTTAACTTTTTCTAAAAAAAAATAAGAGCAATTTTTTTTTATACATTTTCAATCTAATATTTAAAAAAAAAAAACAAATTTACAATCAGAACTTCAATTATGTAATATTTTATTATTTCATTTATTTCAACGTTTGGAATTTGAAAATTAAAATATTCAATCCAAAGTCTCAGCTTTCTAATATTAATTTTTTTTCATTGTTTTAGTATTAAAAAAAAAACAAAAAGAATTGTAGAATATGAAACAAAAAGAAAATATAAAATATAAAAGGAAAGTTGAAAAAAAATTCATATTTGCTCATAAGTTACACGAAAATTGCCCGAGAACTGCCCACAAGTAGCTTGGGACCAAATCAACCCTGTCAATTATAGGATCTGACTAAGATGATGGGAGGACCCGGCCGTTTCCGGCGACTTATTTGAACGCAACAATCCTTTGCACTGTTTTAGTTGATCATTTCAACGATGGAGGGTTTTGGCCACCAGAGATGTATACCGGAGAGTAAATCAATGGAAGTGCGAGAGAAAAATTTGCGTAAGGTCATAGCGACTTTCACTAATTCATATAAGATAATACATCGAATGGTGGTTGAACAAAGACAATTAGGGAATAAATTAGGACTTGGCTATAGTCCCAGCTATCAAACACAAGTTCTTTTGATTAAACCCACAGACCCTTCGACTAGTGGAGGTCTACCCACAACTACTTCACTCTTCGCTTAAGATATACATTGCTAGTGTGCTATGAAATCATTTTAAAGCTACTATATATACAGTACACCTACCAAATTAATTTAGCTCTCACTTTCCACTATCAATCTCACTCAAACATATATATAGTCCCTTTCTAAACATAATTTGGTATCAAGATTGCAATAGCTAGTGGTGCCGGTTCTCCGTGTGGCACATGCAAATTCCTTTGCCGGAGGTACGTTTCCGAATCTGTGTTTGCACCTAACTTTTATGATTTCAATTAGTTAATAATTTTCATTTATTTCAACGTTTTGAATTTGAATATGGAACAATAAGAAAATTGAAAATAAAAGGAAAATTAAAAAATTCCAAATCTGTCCGGAAGTTGCTCGAAAATTGCCCAAGAAATGACCGCGAACTGCCCACTAAGAAGCTTGGTTCTAAAATTCTTTAAAGGAGATTCAAGATCAAACCGACTCTCCCACGTGTAGGACCAATCTCAATTACTTCTTAAAAATGCCTACCTAAACCTCCCCTCTCTCCCCCTTCCGACATAGCTACCCACAAATACTTCACTATTCACTGCTAATATCCTATAAAATCATTTTAAAACTACTATATATACACCTTCCTCTTTCAAAACATATATACACCTACCAAATTAATTTAACTCACTTTATCTCTTTCACTTTTCACTATCTACCTTGCTCAAATCTATATATAGCCACTTTCTAAACATACTTTGCAATCATTATTGCAATGGCTAGTGGTGCCAGTTCTCCGTGTGGTGCATGCAAGTTCCTCCGCCGGAGGTGCGTCCCCGAGTGCGTGTTTGCACCATACTTCTGCTCCGACCACGGTCCGGCCATTTTTGCCGCCGTTCACAAGGTTTTCGGGGCAAGCAACGTCTCAAAGTTGTTGCTACAACTTCCGGTCCACCAACGGTTCGGCGCTGTCTTTTCTATCGCTTACGAAGCTCAAGCAAGAATGGAAGACCCCATCTATGACTGCCTCTCCTACATCATTGCTCTGCAACAACAGGTACCATGGCACCGTTGATCATATCAAAAATTCCCACCGAAAGAAAAAAGATTTTTAACAACGGATTTTTTTTTTTGTTTACAGGTGTTGAACCTACAAGCAAAAGTGATGGAAGCGAGAGCTCTGCAGGCACAGTACTTGCTGAATTCAATGAACGCCGGAAATCAATGGGCGACTACGACGGTGGGAGGGCTGCCGGAGCCGTTTTCGGCAGCTGATCAGAACGCGACAAACCCCCGGTATTCCGTTGATCATTTCAACGATGGAGGGTTTTGGCCACCAGAGATGTATACCGGAGAGGAAGCGGTTCTGTTTCCGGCTGAAGGGAGTAACATGCAGAGAGATTCGCCCTCAGACTTGGGTGAACTCCAAGTTTTAGCGCTAAAAATGACCAAAACCGAGCCTAGGTTCTAGGCCGGCCTGTTCCAACCCTGATGGTTTGAAGATTGTATTTTAATAATCTAATTTTTATTTTCCCTATTTTGAACTTAAACTATTACTTAAGCTATGTAACAGTTTAAGTTAATTCTCTTAATTTTAACAATTTAATTTAATATAAACATTGCATTTTTCTTTAAATTTATAATTATATTTTTTTCCTTCGAAATACACGGAATATTATTTAAAACTATTTAATTGTAATATTAGCAAGCGGTTAACATCAATAACAATTACAATTATTGTGTCATTTCAACAAATAATAAAACACATAATTTATGAAAGATGTCAATTTTATATAATAAAGCATCACTTTCTTTAACTAGGATCGGAATTGCCTAAATGAATTAATGGACAAATTTTACAGTTTTTTTTCACGAAACTTTATGCGAATGAATTTCAGTATTAGGTTTTAGAAAATAAATATTTAATATATTAATCACAACTAGTTGAAAGAACATATTTTGCTTTAAAATGAATTTTAATTGAAAACTCTTTGTTCACTCTTTGATATAAAAAAGTAGATCAGAAACGAAAAAGAAGTTACATAATCAATTGATCGCAAAGTACGTCAAGCTCCAACAAATTTGCTAACAATTTTCTATAAAAAGTTAATATTATCAGCTACTCATGATAATAACTAATGGAATTATTTCAAAAAAAAAAAAAAAAAAAACTAATTGAATCAACTATTAGCTATGATAAAATAGACATCAAAGTCTTCTTTTCTGTTAAGCAAAACTGCCAAGGGCATTCTTGTAATTTCTCACCTTCTAACTGCTTTTGGTAGTTAATGTGTAACAGTGGATATAAGCTTTGCTTCTTCCTTCTGGGAAGAGTTGAGTTAGTTTTGGTTGTAAACTTCAGTACACAAATTCAATGCATTCAGTTTTCTCTTTTCCAGTTTACACATTCTTCATTGTCTCATTCCATACTTGAATTCTCAACATGGTATCAGAGCTCTACCGGAGTTACGCCGCAGCGGTAACGACGAACATAGCTTCCGGCGAAGGAACTTCAGCCGGAAACCCAGCCGGAGACGCGAATGCCTCATTCGCTCACCTGAATGCCACGAATTCGAACCCTAATGGTCGAAACGATGAATTCGACGACCCCCTCTATCTTCACATAACCGAGAATCCGAATCTGGTCTTGGTTTCTCCTCCTCTGACAGAGCTCAATTACTCATCATGGAGCAGGTCCATGAAGATAGCTCTTGAAGTGAAGAACAAATTCGGCCTCGTTGACGGTTCAATTCCTTGTCCAAGTCATCTTGATGCCAGATATGCTGTGTGGAGAAGATGCAACAACATAGTCTGTTCATGGATTCTGAAATCCCTAAATTCCACCATTGCAGAGAGCGTACTCTATTGCGAGAAAGCTCAGGACATCTGGAATAAGCTCAAGGAGAGGTACTCACAAACAGATCCTCACAAGATAGCTGAAATCCAGAACGAGATATTCAGAAACACACAAGGTAACAAAACTATCAATGAATACTTTACCAAGTGTAATGCTCTGTGGGAACAGCTGAACGCAATGAGACCTCTGCCAAATTGTGAGTGCAACCCTAGATGTTCCTGCACTCTGCTTAGTAAAATTCAGAAAGAGAAAGAAGATGATCGAGTGATTAGATTCTTAGAAGGGTTGAATGATGAATCCGAGACTATAAAGTCGGGAATCCTTGTTATGGATCCCATTCCAACCATGGAGAAGGTTCTTAGCATGGCCTTGAAAATAGAGATGAAGGTCAATGGATCTGCTAGTCACCAGAAATCTGTTGAGGTGATTCAATCCAATGCCATACAAAACAGTCAACCACAGCTTACAGAAGGGATGTTTGGAGATGGGAGCACTGTGGCTTTCTCATCTTCTAATACCAACAAGAAGAAGTCTAACAATTTTGGTGGCAAGAATGTACCTAGGTGTACCTTTTGTAACATGAATGGACATACAGTGGAAAGGTGCTATAAAAAGCATGGCTACCCCCCTGGATGGGTAGCTGGATACAAGTCCAAGAACAAACAAGGCCAAGAAACTCAGAATGCCTCTATAAATCAAGTTGGGGATATAGGGATGACTGCAGAACAGTTTCAAAGGCTGATAGCTCTTCTACATTCCCAGAATCATGAGAATCAACCTTCCACAAGTGCTGTCACAACCAATAACCAGGGATTGAAGCCAAATTCCAATGAAGGCAGGTTTATTTCCAACCTCCATACTATCAATGCTATTTCTTATCATGATACTTGGATATTAGACTCAGGAGCAACTAATCACATCACTTGCTCCCTAGACTATTTTGAGAATTGTCAAAGGGTTCATGGATTATCTGTAAAACTGCCCAATGGTGAAACTGTTAGTGTGACACATATAGGGGAAGTCAGATTACATCTTAATATGCTGCTGAGTAATGTGTTATATATCCCCTCCTTTACATTCAACATTATATCTGTTAGCAAGCTCACTAGACAAGGGCACTGTGAAGTGATTTTAAGTGCTGATTCTTGCAAGGTTCACACTCCCAGTGGATTGATGGTTGGTTTTGCTAAGGAAAGGAATGGCCTATATTTGCTCAGTGAACCTCCTGCAAAAGGAAAGAGCATTCAGCTTGATAAGAACATCCATTGTAATAGCTTGTCCCTAGATCTATGGCATTGTAGACTAGGACACTACCCTGTGAATAGAATTCAATTTTTGAATGGAATAAAAGATGTTCAGCTGTCAAAATCTTTGAATATTCCCTGTGATACTTGTCATTTTGCAAAACACAAAAGGTCCCCTTTCCCTAACAGTACCTCTAGAGCTGAAAAGTGCTTTGATCTCTTGCATATGGATGTGTGGGGTCCCTTTCCTGTGGCATCCACAACAGGAGAACACTATTTTCTTGACTATAGTGGATGACCACAGTAGGTTCACATGGCTTCATTTGATGAGAAGTAAATCTGAAGTTAAGAGCCTATTTCAAAGCTTCTATAAGCTGGTTGAGACACAATTTTCTACAAAAATTAAGGCCATAAGAACAGATAATGGCACTGAATTCCTAATGAGTAACTTTCTGAATGATAAAGGAATAGTACACCAAAAATCTTGTGTTTACACTCCCCAACAGAATGGGATTGCAGAAAGAAAGCACCAACACATTTTAAATGTGGCCAGGGCCCTAAGATTTCAAGCTGACTTGCCTATAGAATTTTGGAATTATTGTGTTATGCATGCATCTTACCTTATTAACAGGCTGCCTCCTGCAAGATCTGATGAGAAGATCCCCTATGAAGTTCTGTTTGGAGAACATGTAGACTATCAGCACCTCAGAGCCTTTGGTTGCTTATGCTTTGCATCCACCATTCCCCAAGGAAGAAATAAGATGGAACCAAGGGCCAAGAAATGCATATTTCTGGGAATTCCTGCTAACACAAAAGGATATATATTGTTTGATCTTGTTGATAGGTGCACTTTTATATCCAGGGATGTTCAGTTTTATGAACACAATTTTCCTCTAAAGGGGGGGCAAAACTGAAGCTAAGGCATTGTTCAATCCTGTGTTGCCTTCAATACCAATCTCTACTGAAGTCAGTACATCACCTTTGATAGATAGGAGAGAAGTTAGTGACCAAGTTGCAGAAAGAACTGAAAGTATCAGGTCTGAAAGCTTGGGATTATTTGACACCCCAATCCATGAACCAGATGATGACACATTAAGCAGTATCATCCCAGAGGGTGAATCTGATGAAGCAAGCCATCCAATACAGATAGACAGATGCCAGGTAGAACCAAGGAGATCAGAAAGAGTAAGGCAAGCACCTACAAAGCTGCAAGATTATTATTGTCAGACAATGATTCTAGACAAATAGATGTCAACCCCTCATTCACTTGACAAAGTCATATCATATGATTGCTTGCCCTTCAACTACAAACTGTGTGCATCCTCTATTCTTTCATCACAGGAACCACAGTCATATAAGGAGGCAGTCCAACATGAATCATGAAGAAATGCAATGAAAAAGGAGATGGATGCTTTGATTGAAAATAAAACTTGGATTCTCACAGATTTACCCTTAGGCAAAACTCCTATTGGGTGCAAGTGGGTATACAAGGTGAAGCATAAAGCAGATGGCTCTGTGGAAAGGTACAAAGCTAGATTGGTGGCTAAAGGATATACCCAACAACTAGGGGTGGATTACATTGAAACATTCTCCCCTGTGGCAAGGATGACTACCATTAGAACATTCCTAGCTGTAGGTATTGCAAGAGGGTGGGAAATTCAGCAGTTAGATATAAATAATGCCTTCCTACATGGGGATCTTGAAGAGGAAGTCTATATGGTTCCACCCCCTGGATATCAGACTGAGAACAAGAACAAGGTTTGCAGGTTGTTGAGGTCTCTCTATGGCCTAAAGCAGGCTAGTAGACAGTGGAATGGCCTAACAACAGCCTTGCAAGACAATGGATTTAAACAATCAGCAGCTGACCCATCCTTGTTCACCAAAGTCTCAGACAAGTCTTTCATGGCTCTCTTAATCTATGTTGATGATATTCTAGTTGCAGGTTCTGATTCCCAACAGATACACAGCTTAAAAGAGTTTCTGGACAAGACTTTTAAGATAAAAGATCTTGGTCATATAAACTACTTCTTGGGGCTTGAAGCTTTCAGAACAGATAATGGTCTCAACCTATGCCAAAGAAAATACACTTTGGAAATCTTGAAAGAGAATGGTTTCCTAGGGGCCAAGCCAGTTTATACCCCCATCAGTACAGGACAAAAGCTCAGCAACTTTGAAGGAAACCTCCTTGATAAACCAGAAGTTTATAGAAGACTGGTTGGTAAACTGTTATACTTAACAAACACAAGGCCAGATATCACTTATGTTGTACAACAACTGAGCCAATTTGTTGATAAGCCTAGGGACACTCATCTTATGGCTGCTCATAGGGTACTTAGATACCTAAAAGGATCCCCAGGGAAGGGACTATTC